TAGGTAGGCAAGCCCCAAACAGCAAGAAAACCAATTTCTTCTTTAGAATCGCTGTTTCAAAGAGTAAGAAGCTGTCTTATGATTCAAGGTACAGGACAAAAATAAAGGGGTGTTCTTCCTGAGCAACGCTACATACTTGGTAGGTAATGCAGTGGGACAAGCTGTTTTACCTCTCAGCCTCCCCATTCTCCTTCCTGTAAACAGGAATAACAATTATATCAGGAAAGCATGAGGAGCTTAATTCATTTGTGTTTTGAAATACCTTGAGAGCTCTGGACCGAGGGCACTGTGCAGCACTGCACCTAGACTCCTGGTGGTCCCAGGTGAATTTTTAGTATCGGGCCCCCCTTGGCTGAAGATAATGATAATAATTTTTAAATTACCATTTTGGGGTCCCCTTTCTGTCCGAGCCCCAGGCAGCCACCCGGTTTGCCCATACCCATGTCCAGCCCTGGCACTGTGCATATCACTCTTCCTTTGCATCAGGCTGTTCTGAACATTTTCTACCTACATACCTGAAATACCAAATGAACTGCTAACCTTTTCCTAGGACCCTTCAACAGCAGGTGGCAACTGCACGGGTAATTTTGCCTAAAGCATCCTGCATGCATTAAAGCAAGCTGCACAGCTCATCCTGTAAGCAACATTACTGTAGCCCAGTACATACCCAGTCAGGTGCAAGAAGGAGGAGGAACAGGGTCCAGGTTATTGTCCCAAAGCTGTCAGACATCCTGAGTGAGAGAGGATGGATTTCAGACTGACGGCTAGTGACTAACAACTCTCTCTCCCCCGCTCTCTTTTCAAGCCCCCTCTCTCTGTCCAAAGAACATTGCACACAAGCTCCTTTTTAAATAGCCTCCTGAAGAGGCGTATCCTGCATTTGAGTGACAACCTGGGAAGCAACCCAAAATGGTGCAACAAAAAGTGTCCAAATTCCAGGGCATATTAGCAGATTCCTGTGGCCCTGGTGGTTACGGGGCTGCTGATGGAGCCTGCAACTTTGGTCACATTACTTGGAGAATTCAAATCCTGGCAAAACACTCAGCTAGGTTATTATTATCATCATCATCATTATTTAATTCTTCCCTCTGCACTCCCCCCTCCCTTTCGGACAAGAGGTGAAGACTTAAATAAGCAAAGCTTTGTCAGGCTAATTTTTTCTCCTTGAAAATATGTGCATCTTGGGGAGGGCAGGAAGAAGGGTTGGAAAGTTTCACTCTGCAAGAAGCAGTTAGGTAGCAGAAGTCACTGTGCAACAGCAAAGCTTTCAGACCCTGCCGGCCCAGGAGAATGAAAGCCAGAAAGGTGTAGGGACTGGAAGGTTATCTGATCACTTGTGATACGACAAAATGGAAGGTAACAGGACAAAACTCACCTTCCAGGGGCAATAGCTGCCTACAGTGTTTAATTTGTGGCATAAAATAAATGCAGGACGAGATCACACATTATGCAGTCTTTTGTGTGACTACTGCTGAAACAGATAGGCGGCCGTACAAAAGTACAGGCTTTACAACATGGGGGTTGGTTCAAGGCACTCCAGCTGAATTAGAGGATGAGAAAAATAAGCAAGCAAGGTTGGGAGCTGAACCAGGATAGGCACGTAACGAAGAGGGTGATCTCAGTCCCTGATGGCCTGTGGAGTGGGAATGGTTTGTAATCATCATAGCTCTTGACTTCTCAGTGTTTAAATAGCAGCATGCAGCACTTCAAAATGATGGGAAATGGCTGAGTGGGTGGCAAGACAGTGTTTTCTAGGAACAAATAAAAGGTGCACACTCCCAGTGTGCCCTTGGGTGAATGACTTTGCCTTTCACCCTGAGCACTTCTATTTGTAATAGAAGACACGAATACAACAGCACAAAGATAATACAATAAGCTGTAAAGAGGACTCCTTACCAGCCAGGGGTGCTGTGAGTTTAAACATGTAAGTTAATATTTCTGCACTACTTAGAAAGGCTTGGTATTCAGTATTGCATTGTGTTTTTATTTAATAACAGTTACACACACATGCAACACCAATCAGAGACCAACACAAATTGGAAACCAAATTGGAGACCAGACCAGACCTGCTAACAATATGGCAGGATTTCTTTTCAAAACAGTCAGTTCACTAAATAGTCCCTTCTCCATCCCCACGTGCTCTAGTCAAATAAGATTATCCCCATTGCACGGAGTGGAAAACGAATGTAGATATTGTGACTTATCACACAGCTAGTCAAGTCTGGGATTCGTATTTAGAGCTTTGTAGCTCAATGAGTTCACCCATAATGCCTGTAAGTTATAACACAAGGCAACCTGAAGACGAATCTGTTGGAGAAAATAACAGTCACCCTTCAAAGCTGATGTTTTCCTTAATGCTCCATGAGTTGCTTAGCAGTCATATCTCATCAGGCTAAATTCTCAAATGGAAAAGTGAAGCCAAGTTTTAAACCACATTATCTTTACTGATTTAATCTATCAGGCAACAGTTAATGCTGTTGCTTTATGCAAAACGCGATGCTGAAATTCGGAACAATTTGACCCAAGCTATTATCCTGCTTTCTGTGTTTCTTCTCCTTCCTTCTCTAGTCCCTCAAGGGGAAAGCAGAACTTTTACTAACCCAGAGTGCATGTCCAGCAGTAACAAAAGCACAGGGCTGGGAGCCAGGAGGCCGACAGCAGGACTCTCACGATGTTGAGGCCCCTTTGTGCTGCTTTGCCAGAATAAAAAGGATGAAACCTTCCCTTTTTCGAGAAGGTGCTCTGTGCAGGTGCCTCTCTGGACAGTGCAGAGCAGAAGTGAGCCCTCTAACACCAGTCCTGCTCCCAGCCCTTAGTATAGGGTGCTTGTCAGGGGCATAGGCAGACGGTAGCACACCAGGGTCATTCTCTACCTA